TTTATTTAGTGTGATGACATCATATCGTCATTAACTTCATTTAAATTTGGAATGACTACAGGACAAATTGCCATTAAATAATATTAATGAATCAGAAAAAGTGCATTGAAGGAATGCATAAAATACCCAATATACTAAGGCTGATATAATTTGCTTTTGTTACATAGATATACACTCACATACATATTTTTTTATTACAAAAATTTACCACTGGTACCGTTTGTGCATAATTTTAAAAAAAGCAATAATTAGGGGGGAGACATCTCAGATCTACAGGAGTGGTGACTCCTCTACGGCCCATGGGCCGGGGCCACGGCCCATCTAATTGGGCCACATGGGCCGTGGCCCATAGCTTGATGGGCCGCGGCCCCATCAGAAAAAATTCAATTATCTTAACAAAATTTTCAATTTTTACCAAATTGTCAATATTCGAACCAAAAAAATATACTCCTGTAGTATGTGTACCAGGTTAGGGTTAGGACAAAATAAATTCAGATTTTTTACGTTATAGTTCTATTATGAGTTCGGGGACTGTCTGTGTTAGCCAAGTGAATAGTTTCTTTACACAACTTGATGGGCCGCGGCCCATAGCCTGATAGGCCGAGGCCCAATTCGATGGGCCGTGGCCCCGGCCCATGGGCCGCAGAGGAGTCACCACTCCCACTCTCTCAGATCTGCGTTTTTAATAGAAAATAATGCAAAGATGTTCTATTATGATATATATTGTTGGTACTTTAAAGAACCGTGACATATTTGCGATTACTTAGATTCAAAGTACTCGAACTAAAACTGTTACCCTTATGATATAAAATAACCTCAAGAGTGTTATTATTTGTGTTACGAAGCTGTAGACATACGCAAAAATAAAAGAGATGCTTTTAATGGAAGCGATACTGCCTTGCTGTGCAATCACCTCACGCTATCCGAATTATTATTTTAACTGTTGATTAAACTATTTTTTATCCTGGAATTGCTTCAAATCAATTCAAATTGATCTTGCTGCCAATCGTTTCAATTAGAAATTCTGACACTCACATCCCCAGCTATGACATCTCTGCCAGATTAAGGAAATGGTTTATTGCAATCCAAAATTGAATAATAATAATAATATCATGCCTATGACTGTATGATGCCCCAGATTCAGAGGCTAAAAAATGGAATGATTGAGCCAGCTGTACCATCAGTACAGTTATGTTTTTCTTTTTAAAAAACATAAACTGGTAACCAGGGTAGTCTACTTTTGTCAGCTTTGTCAAATAAATTTTTATCAGTTGTGTAGTGTGTGTACCAGGTTAGGGTTAGGCCATAATTTTATTCAGATTTCCTTATCTCAGTTCTATAACGAGTTCGAGGACTGTCTGTGTTAGCAAAGTGAATATACCCATTGGTTTCAGTCCCTTTACACAACTTGATGTAAAGTAGGCTGACGAAATTAGTTACCTTCATATTGGTACACACACTTTTGGAGCGCCGGTGTTGTTATTTTGTTATCTACCGATATTACATTTCTTAAATAATAATTTGTGATATTTTACATATTATTGTATAGTCTGTATTGCATTTCAACTAAAGATAACTACATGATATGGTCTTGGGTACTTTTTCCAATGAGACCTTCTGCAAAATGAGAGATGTACTGAATTCTCCCTTTGCAAAGTAAACTTTACCCACCCCCAAGGCTTGGCCAATCAAAGCCTATTGTGATAGTATACTTATTAACCAGATTTGTACAGGTGTGGTCTTGATTGTCTTAGGTTTCAAATTATATGAATACGATGACCTTTAATAAAGCTTTTGATTATGCCGGGTTCTAGTTTAGTCAAACTATGCACATATTAGCACATTTTGATAATGTACTTTTTAATCATGCCCAACTATTCGCCTATTCATGGGAATTCGTTTTAAGCCTACAACTATTTCAACCTCGTCATCTTGTACAATAATACATCTAGTGATATTTTTTGAGATTGAACAATTTCTCTTCTAATTCGTCACAATCCAGGCATGTTTTTTCATCATATTGCGATAATTTGTGCCTCAATTTTATGAGTATGATCCTGTGTAAATATATATATTGTGAAGCCATTCACGACCGCTCAGGCAAACTGAGAATAATATAACTGTTTCTATCAATGTTATCCCAGAACAAATATTTACAGAGGTTGGATAAGCCTCTACGGCACATACTCTCCTAATGTACGCATATATAACCTGTCTGGTTCAAAATATATTTGTGTATTTCATGAGATAAACAGAGTGATGCTTTGGTATATATTGTGTTGTAGCTCATATTATTTATTAGTAGTAGCAGGAAGACTTGTTCAGTATACTGGTAGCACTACTATCTTCCAATATTGTAATCAAATGATTATATTTTATCGCACCACACTATATAGACACATTTAATCAGGGTATAGAAATAAAAACTCAAAAAAAGTGTTTGATTATCGTTGATCTACTGAATATAACTTAACTATTATTTATTCGGTATTACTAGTGCGTCCAAAAAATTGGTATAAACCGTATAGAAAATTTGAACAAATAAAAGAGAAAATCTAATAAAGCAACTTGCTGATTCATAGTTGTAATTAAACTTTTATAGATTACCGTAGATTGCCAAATGCCAATTTGATTGACTGACGATATTATATTGAAATGTAGTCATCATTTATCTATATATAATAATCCGTAATCCAATTTTATCAGAAAGTTGAAATAAGTTCATACCCAACATTTCATTGGCTGACAACTTGACACATCTCAATTACACCCATAACTAATGTATACGTCAACCGGGAATTTACCTAAAATCCATACTCATTGGCATTTGGTGGTGCAATGTATCAGCATGAGTTTGTGTCGTAATACAGCTTATGACACATGAAAAAATTTAACACTTCTTGTTGCTGGCCAAATCATTCTAGTATTTTCCGATTGTGTTTTGAATCACATCACGTATACAAGCATATAACATAGATCATGATAATACAACATGGTTCATGTCGCGAGTCAGTCACATCTGGAGTGATCTAGGATTAAGTATGAGACACCATATATGAAATATATATACATGATTGCAGACCAGTACAGCATTTTAATATACCGGTACTTCTGTGTTGATATGATGTTATTATAAAAGAAATATAAAGATTATTTTGTTTGTTGAATCAGTGATACATTGTTGTTATACTAATCAAAGATTATTAATTATTAAGTGTAATTAAGCTAAAGTACAGGTTGTTGTACAGTATGTTTGGACTATTTGTTTGATTAAATTTTATATTAGTGAGATAATAGTAGAAAATCTCGAAATATTTTTAAATGAGGCCTCAGAAAAGCAAAAAGTGATTTGGGCTTAACTCGGTCTACCCCTGACTTCAAAATAAACTTGAATGTGTTTGGCTATATGTCAACCCCATTATTTGGCACTTATAGAATAATATAAAATAATTGTTTCCAATTGTCTACAGACCCACATTTGGCATTTTGTGCATGTGGAGATATATGTACCCCTGACAAAGAACATTGTAACTATGGAAAGATGAGCATTTATTGTAAATATATTTTACTATGTATATAAATAGTAAAGACCGTATATAAAACATCTTTTCACACATCACACATAGTTTTATCTGGTCTGCATGGGATATTATATGTGCATCATTGCATATGATATATTGCAAGACATTGAGGAAGCATGATTTGTCATGACATCCTTTTTCTAGCTGTTTTTTTAATGTACAAGCAACTCGAATATTTCATGCTATATTGGTTTTACAGTAATTCAGGTTTCGGTTTGTGAATGAATAATTACTAATTGTTGGATTTCTATTACATGCATTGGAAACAAATCGAAGGCTCTAACCCAGTGGTTCCCAAAGTGGGTCCGCGAACCTTTTGGGATCCATCAAGCACTTTCAGAGGGTCCGCGAAACAAATCTGTAATATGGCTAATAGCTTGATAAAACAAAAATGAATTGCTTAAAATTGCAAATACACATTTATTGCTTTTTGCTGCTTTGCAATCACCGCTGGAGACACTGATTCTCCACTTTCTATTTCAATCACGCTGCTTCATTGTGATGTCACAGAGCTGCGGGCCTGTGATATCACAGAGAGAGTTTAATTCATACCATCACAAGTTTACTAACTGCAGAGTTGTAGCTGCCCTTGTGCAGGTTTACCAAATATCAAAACAGACTGGATGCCACATGTCATGAGAATTGCGCTTCATATTCTTTGGTTCGTTTCTCTATACGGCGCATTGATTTTTTGTTGTGATATTTTAATGTTTTGTTTTAGTGCAAAAGGCTGGAAAACATAAAAAAATTCCAAAGTATCCGTCATGGAATTTTTTTCAAAAAGTTTGGGAACCACTGCTCTAACCTAATAGGGCAGATGGGATAGGGCTGGGATGTGATAGGTATCTCATCTTCCTATGGCAATAGCGCTATTAAAAATTGACATAAAAACCAGAAGTTGTTTATGAGCAAGCCTTGACTTTAGTGACTTTAAAAAAAAAAGCCAATCTGATTATCTCATTTACAGATATGAAAATTTAACAAAATTCTCAAACTGCCCCCAAGGCAGACATCTTCTGAGCATTCGAGGTATGGTAATTAAATTTTTCATGCCTCTGGCGATTCTGATTACTGAAGGATGTGATTGAATAATTTTATGTTTTTGTTGATTGGCATAACTATAGGCTGTCTAGACTGGGACATATTCCTAAATACCAAGTCTATTTGTGCCTTATTAAATTTGAAATACTGTATCGTATTGGTTTTTGTCATCGAATTCATTGTTCCTGGTTTATAAACCATAAATAATGAACAAACTATTCTTTTTCAGCTGATTATATTTTTTTTAATAGCCTCACTATATAGCTATGCGAGTGATTGTTTGATAAAACTAGGACAGATTATGTTTTGTGTCATTGAATCCCTTATGTATGTTTCTGGTTTATAAACAATAAATAACAAATAAATATTCTTTTTCAGCTGATTATAATTTTTTTAATAGCTTCACTATATAGCTATGCGAGTAATTGTTTGATAACAAAATATGGCAGAGGATGTAAATAACAGATTCCGAAATAGGATGGTATCAACATCCACAGAATCACCTCACTCATCAAATGATAGGTCAGTGCCAAACAAAAAAGATGAGGATAAACCACGTGAGGAAATAAGGTATGATATTATTTGAAGAAACTATACTCTTCTTGCAGTATATTCGTCACTGCTATTTTATGCTCTTACTTCCACTTTATAATTAAGGTGAATGACCATTTTCTAAATTGAAATTAAGTGTTCACTGTATTATTGTGAAATTTCATTCCCAGCATTTCGTAATATTACACGTGCCAGCAATGGGTTCCAACAACCTTTTATTTATATAAAGTCTTGAATTAATATTGGAGTAATCGCTTTCATTCATTTCTCTCTTTTACATCACTATCTTATTAATGAAATATATCATTCAAGTGTCATGGGGGGTCATTGCTCTTTATGTGTCAGGTTCTGTCAATATTTTGTATTCAGTCATAGGGTCTGGCTGTAATGTTTGCCAAAGGTTGGAATGCTATCCAAACAGTTTTTATGTATCTCAAACTAACAGTCACAAGCAATCGTTAAAATAATGATATAAGCTCACATGACTATGAATTTTAATATCCTTTATAGTATTTCTCCCATAAATATTCGAAATAACATATTATATTATACTCCATATTAATTATATAGCGACCCGATTTCCATTAGATCAGTTTACTTCAATATTAAAATTTTAGTGGTTTTAAATATGACCTTTTGGTATATTGAATTACCTTATATGAATACGGTAGTTAAATCACTATTCATGCTATACTTTATTCAGCCAATTGTGCTTTTGTATTTGGGTACTATCACTTTGGGCTTTTATGTAACTGTTATTACCTTTCACCTATATTGCAAGGATTATATGATAAAGTCACTCTATAGTCCTCTTATGTATTTATCACGTATTTAAATCAATATGAAAAGTTTTCTGTGATTTTGTATTTTAAGACAAATAATTTTTATTGGAAAACTAAGCACAAATTGTAGCTTGGCGTATTTTGGGTGACAAGCTTTATAGACCCCTAGCTAAGAATGTTGTGTCTTATCTAGAACCATCTTCTGAAATATTTATTTACATTGCAAGGGTAAAAAGTCAGGAAGATAGTAATTGATCAACATTCCTAGCATTGCCGAACACTCCCTCAAACTCATTTAACCTTTGTATGCCGTATGTTGGATTAACAACTATTAGTATTAACCATGCTTATTTTGTTAGGCAAAAACAGCTTTTGCAAGGATATTAGTTAAATATCAGGGTGTTTATAGGCTTTAACCATGATATTTGTCACACTATAAAAGAAACAAATAATCCATGTGCAATATAACTTTATGGGGAAAAGGGGAAGTCTGTTAACGTTTACAGGCGAATAAACAATCCAGTCATTTCGTGTAACATGTTTTTTGTAGGCATCATATCACGACTAGCATGTTTGTCATTAATTGAATAATATTATCTTAATTAAAATGACGCTTATTATGAAGTTAAAAATGTTTTCTATTTTAGGGGAAACGAACGTCACATTCTCTTTCATTTTTTCACACTGTTTAGCATCAGTTTTATCTGCGGGATTTTTTTAATACACCTGAGTTTGTGGCTTAATGTGAGTATAGTTGTATTATTTCATTCATTATGTATTATTGTGTATCAAAGCAACTCAATGATGATTAACTGCATCATCAAAATTTGTGTTAGATTTTAAATTCGATGGACCTTCAGTAAATATGTTGTCATTGGCAACAAGGTATAGGGACAAGATGCTCTGTTATTAAGTTGACAATCTTACCATGCCAAGCTGGCAAAGAGAAAGGTTGTGTACCACTGCTGAACTTTTCCTGGTATTTTCAAACCGAACGCATACTTGACAAATGATATTTTCCCATTACTCAAAATGACAATAACCTGCTTTGTAATCTGTTTTTTCGAGCATGTGTTCACTAAAATTCTAAGAATTGATTCAGTAATATCTTGTTTTATACATAAAAAATAGCCGTTTATTCTTGTTTAAAATGGTACAGGGTGATCTAATAAAAACAGAACCTATAAATTTCCTAATTCTACAAAAATTAAGAAAATTTACACTTGAAAACGTTAATTTCTGTTTGTGTATATAATTGGGCGCTGCCGTAGTACGTGCAACAAGATGGCGGACACCTGAACATAGTATGTTTACCAAGTTAGGGTTAGGCCATAATTTTATTCCAATTTTCCTTATTTCAGTTCTATTACGAGTTCAGGGACTAGCCAAGTGACTCCCGTAGTATTTGTACCTGAAATTATGACCTTATTCTAACCTGATACACATACTACGTTCCTGTGTCCGCCATCTTTTTGCACATACTACAGGAGTACCTATGATTGTACTAAAAATTTCAGTAATCTATGACACTTCAACAAAAGTAGTTTTCTTTCTGTAATATGTTCCAAATGGCCTGTGTTCTGTTTTTCTTGGCCCACACTGTATTATGTTAGTAATTTAGATCTCAATATATTGAAAGTTTATTTTATTTTTGTTCAGTCATATATTCATGCTGTCATGTCACCAGTGAGGCCTTTCGATAGTGAGAACACAGAGAACGGCCTTTATACTGAAGAGTACAAGAATGTAACTACTATACAACATGAACCAAGCGAGACCTATTATTCATCCGTTTACACACAAGATGAGACTATTAAAGAAGTCTTCATGTCCCCATTTTACTATACCGGGACTTATTTTAATCCAGTCAGGCGCAATGTTACGTACCATAATCATGAAGGATACCACGATTTTTCAAATTATTCAGCAATAAGATAGAGAACTTCTTATTATCAATGAAAAGATTTGCAAATTGTCAACAATATTATCGCGGGACGGAATACTGGAAATAAATTGACAAGTTTGATCATGTAGTATAGGAATCATCTGCAAATTCAAGCAAACTTAATATAAAATGTGAAAATTGTTCATTTTTGAAGAACATCACTGCAGACTACATTTCATTTTTGGTTCATGCTTGGTATTGATATAAATTTTTATATATAACTAGTAAAATTATATTGTTATTAAATTATGGAATGTTTTTACATTTAAAATCTTTCTAGGTGTAACCATATATATGAATCCTCATACACAAAATTATCAACAAATATTAGATGACAAATTATACACAAAGTGTCAAGGTGGTTGAGGCCTGAATTTTCAGTCAAATCTTTCTGTTTCATAAATATTTATTTGAAAAATTCTACTTACTGTCTATGTTGAAAGTATGCCTCTAAAAATTAAGCACATTACTGGCCATGCTTGATCAAATACTGATTATTTTATATGAATGGTTTCATGTTAAATTGCTCCATAAGTGTGCGTGGATTGAATATGGCCGATCAATATATTTTAATCTTTGTATTTAAATATTCTGAGTCGAAATAATGTTTCTTTCATGAGCTGAGTTTAGTTGGTATTGCGCAATAAAATTCAGAGGAGGTGTGTTTCTTTATATTTCTTATGTTTTCGAATGAAATTGTAATTTTTGACTCAGAGGTAATTTTGGACCGGGTTGAGAGTATTCCAATATACCGGTAGATATTTTGGGAATTTCAACTTCTTCAAATTTCTACAACTTCCATGCTCATGCTGATAGTATCATTACCATTTCGTGGCAGCAATACTCTGTCACAACACCATGAACA